AATCAATAATAATAATAAAATGTAGAGGTAGAGAGATAGCATTCGTAAAGCTCGAACTCCCACGTACAGCAAGCTCTATGCGCTTAACAATCTATATTTGTTGCCCAAAAATTTTACATGGAAATGTGTTTTTATGTGGACATAAAAGGCGATGAGCCTAAAAACAAAAATTCCCGTAAAAATTGCTAAACTGGCAGAAAAATGCCCGTATCTTTGATTTCATAATTCTGACAAGCGCCTGGTTTCAGCACGATGTCTCACATTTAATTTGCCCATGCTTTACAGCTCTGTCAGAAATTTGCTTTGCGTCAACTCTGGGGTTGGCCCAGCAAAAAGTGAAAATGGATAAATTAAATTTGACTCTGCTTTAAAATAACCACATAATGTTCAGAAATCAGGCTTGAAATTAACTTGGCGTTAACCCATCTGCACCGGTCACAATTGACATATAGGCACCTGCGGGTGAAATGTTCCCATTCTTAACCCAGTTTGACCATGCAATTTTATTTACTCGAATTTTGAAACCTACATCCTTTTCTCTCAAAGTTTCACGCATCAATTTCGATAAATTATATTTAGAAGTCATATAAAACGGGCTGAAATATAAAATGTTTAATTTTTGGCAATGTTTATAAAAACAAACTTTTTCTTCGTATATATATAACACATATTTTTAGTAGCATTTTTTTCCGACTTTATATTGCATTTTCTCCCGTATTTTTCACCCGAATGGCTTCATATTTTTACTCAATGTACATCCATAGATAGCTTTTACTGAAGTAGGGGCCCCTTTTGAAGATAATAATGAAAAAATCCTGTCAGAGGTTTTAAAAATTTTTTTAAGGTGTTCCTTTTGGGGTTGTTCATGCTTACAATATCATGCTTATAACAATTGATTACTTGAATGTGTTCTTTGATGTTTCTCTCTCTCTCCCTTTCTCTCTCTCTCTCTGTCTCTCTCTCTCTCTCTCTCTCTCGCTCTCTCTCTCTCTCTTTCTCTCTCTCTCACGCTCTCTCACTGTATATATATATTTTAAAAACATATTTATATTTTTTAAAGTTATCATATAAAACAGATTTATCATATAACATAGTTGCTATATATCTTGTCAAGGGATATGGACTTTAGAAATTTCCCGGGGGC